ACAAAAACACACATGCAATCACACTACACGCACAGATACACACCAACACACACACAGCCACACGCACCACCAACACACACACAACACAACACCAACACACACACCCACACACAACACAACACCACACAAAACACACACATGCAACACACACACGCACACACACCAACACACACACACCCCAGACGCACACGCAGTACACACACACACCACACACAACGCAACACCACAAAAACACAGACACAGCAGCACACACAGACAACACGCGCGCAGACCACACCAGACACACACACACACGCAGACACACACACGCAGACACATGCAGACAACACACGCACACACAGACACACACAGCAGACACACACACACAGACACACACACACAGACACATGCAGACACACACGCACACACAGACACACACGCGACACCACGCAGACACACACGCAGACACACACAGACACATGCAGACACACACGCACACACAGACACACACACGCAGACACACACGCAGACACACACACACACGCAGATACACACACACACACAGACACAGACACACACACGCAGACACACACGCACACGCAGACACACACAGACACAGACACACACACACAGACACAGACACACACGCACACACAGACACACGCACACACAGACACAGACACACACGCACACACAGACACAGACACACACGCACACACAGACACAGACACACACGCACACACAGACACGCACATGCAGACACACACGCACACGCAGACACGCACACACAGACACACACACACACACAGACACACATGCGCAGACGCACACGCAGATACACACGCAGACACACACACGCACACGCAGACACACACACGCAGACACACATGCAGACACACTGGTCTCCATGCAGATGTCGTGTCCGTCCGGACAAAAGCCAGTTTAACAAACAACCCCCCCCCCCCACACACACACACACACCACACACCACACGTGTCCACCATTAGTGTTCAGAGCCCGGGGGCCATTGTCACACCATAATAGTGTGTGGACTCATTGGCGTCCTTATGCATGCCATGTGCTTATTCTAATGGAGAGGAAGTGTCCTGTAGTGACCTGCTAAATCACTGTCATCCTCACATTGTTCCGACACTCTGGCCATAAGGACCCTCCGCTCATTCATATGCTAATAGCTTTCGCCTTTCCCCCCTCTAAACCAATGTAATGTGTGTGAGTTAAGACGCCGACGTGTCAATCCAAAGGCCACTTGTTTATTTTGCTGGCTGAACGTGGCAAATGGTTTCACAAAACAAACAGAATACAATTATATACAATAAAAATGTAGATATATTCAGAAGGGCCGTTTGTTTTACTGTCTAACATCTGAGGTACACAATCACAGGATGTTTCCTTCTTTGTGGCTGTATACTATATTATGTTATTATTATTATTATTATTATTATTATTATTATTGTTGTTATTATATAGTATCAAAAAAAAAAATATGCTAACTGTAAGTCACTCTGGATAAGAGCGTCTGCTAAATGACTAAAATGTAAATGTATCTGTCTCCGATAAATATAAATTATATACATACATTATTATTATTATTATTATTATTGTTATTATTATATAGTAACTGTCTCCGATATATATTATTATTATTATTATTATTATTATTATTATTATTATTATTATTATATGATCTGTCTCTGATACATAGTATATTGATTCTCAATGGTTCTTTTGGTTTGAGGAGATAATGAAAGTTACTCAAAGCGTGGAGAGTTATTTTTTTCCTCTGCTCGTTTCCTGCTCTATTGATCTGAATGGGTTGTGAAAACTGTTCCACGGTTGTATTATTAAGTGTTCTTTAATGGAGTCGTTCTTTAAATCTGGTGCCAAGATTGAGCTGCATCCCAAGTGGCTCCCTATATAGTGCACTACTTTTGACCAAAATATATAAAGGGAATAGGGTGCCATTTGGGACACATTATATGTGTTTTGAACAGCATGGTGAGAGGCAGAGCAGCAGCTTGTTGTTAAAGGAGGGATGTGGAGAAACAAATAAAGTCAGACTGTCACGCAGCCATTAAGACTGTCACGCAGCCATTAAGACTGCCACACAGCCATTAAGACTGTCACACAGCTATTAAGACTGTCACGCAGCCATTAAGACTGTCACGCAGCCATTAAGACTGTCACGCAGCCATTAAGACTGTCACGCAGCCATTAAGACTGTCATGCAGCCATTAAGACTGTCACGCAGCCAGTAAGACTGTCACGCAGCCAGTAAGACTGTCACGCAGCCAGTAAGACTGTCACGCAGCCAGTAAGACTGTCACGCAGCCATTAAGACTGTCACGCAGCCATTAAGACTGTCACGCAGCCATTAAGACTGTCACGCAGCCATTAAGACTGTCACACAGCCATTAAGACTGTCACGCAGCCATTAAGACTGTCACGCAGCCATTAAGACTGTCACGCAGCCATTAAGGAACATGAAAGGGCTTATACCCCTTACGTACCAAGACATTTAGCCGCCATCTTTTTGCTGCCTTTTCTTTATCTGAAAGGTGTTGCTGCTAACAAAGCCTGTACTTTTATTTCTGCCAACAGACCTAGTCATGATTGTGGTAAAGTTCTGCCTGCGGCTTACTATGAAACGTAGCCATAATGCTGAAGCGCCATTGGCACGCACTATGCTCTAACACTCTTGAGGGTTGCTAGGCAATGTCGGTTACTAGGCTGTTAACATCCCATCACTTCACATAGCCCACCACTAAACATGCACTGTTTTCTTAACCACAACTGGATGTATCCATAAAAAATTACTGTGGGAATATATGTCACTGAATGATGAAACTGTTGGAATAAAGTAGTCTAATGCTGTTGAAGACATCAAATTGTTGCTTAGTGAAACTCCCAATCCCGCTGCTTTAGGGCTGACCCCATTTAGTCGACTGGTCGATTGTTTGGTCGATAGGCTGTTGGTCGGCTGAGATTGTTTTTATTAGAGCGGTCGCAAATTTATACAATGCCAGTCAAAGGTTTGGACACCTACTCATTCAAGGGTTTTTCTTAGTTTTTTACTATTTTCTACATTGTAGAATAATAGTGAAGACATCAAAACTATAAAATAACACATATGGAATCATGTAGTAACCAAAAAAGTGTTAAACAAATCAAAATATATTTTATATTTGAGATTCTTCAAAGTAGCCACCCTTTGCCTTGATGCCAGCTTTGGACACTCTGTTGACCAATGGATTGGTCGAAAGAACAGATAACTCTCGGTCGACTAAGATTTTTTTTTTGGTCTGGGACAGCCCTACACTACTTTGAGACAAGCTTGGGGAATCGTCTTGATAAATTAGTCATGTCAGATTTTTCTTTTCACTGAATCTCCGTATGGATATTGGTTAGGCTACAATTAGCCTGTGGAAATGTTAGCTAAATTGAGGTGAAGCTGCTCATGATAATCTTGTCTAGTTGGCTCATTTATTAGCACTGATCAGAACATTTTGACCGCATGTTGTGTAGTTTAACAAGTGGATTATTTTATTCTTCAGTAGCCTAGTAGCATAGGCCTACTCCTGACCAAAAGCATGTGACTTGTCTTAATCAATCAATGTGATTTTGTTTAACTGAGTCTCCGTCTGTAGGCTTTATTTGGCTAATTCTCTGGCTGGGCAAATTACTGGAGGTGGTATAGCTCATATATTAGTTTGGTCATCTATTACTGATCAGAAACATTTAGCATGCAGTAATGTAGCCTAAATCAAGAGGAGCCCTTTTATTTTGCTCGATCGCGTGGAGGCACCTCTAAAAGCCTGCGGAGGTTGTGAAATACGAACAAGAGACTCAAATGCTTTTGAAAATATACACTACCGTTCAAAAGTTTGCGGTCACTTAGAAATGTCCTTGTTTTCGAAAGAAAAGCAATTTTTTTTTTTCTTCTTTGTCCATTAAAATACCATTCAAATTGATCAGAAATACAGTGTAGACATTGATAATGTTGTAAATGGCTATTGTAGCTGGAAACAGCTGATTTTGGCCAAAAACAAATAACTTTCTTCTGAAACTCATCAGTCTATTCTTGTTTTGAGAAATGAAAGCTATTCTATTCGAGAAATTGCCAAGAAACTGAAGATCTCGTACAACGCTGTGTACTACTCCCTTCACAGAACAGCGCAAACTGGCTCTAACCAGAATAGAAAGAGGAGTGGGAGGCCCCGGTGCACAACTGAGCAAGAGGACAAATACATTGAGTGTCAAGTTTGAGAAACAGGGGCTTCACAGGTCCTCAACTGGCAGCTTCATGAAATAGTACCCGCAAAACACCAGTCTCAACGTCAACAGTGAAGAGGTGACTCCAGGATGCTGACCTTCTAGGCAGAGTTGCAAAGAAAAAGCCACATCTCAGACAATAAAAAGAAATAAAAAGAAAAGATTAAGATGGGCAAAAGAACACAGACACTGGACAGAGGAAGATTGGAAAAAGTGTTATGGAAAGACAGGTGTTCGGATCACAAAGAATACCATTTGTGAGACGTAGACCAAATGAAAAGATGCTGGAGGAGTGCTTGATGCCATCTGTCAAGCATGATGGATGCAATGTGATGGTCTGGGGTGCTTTGGTGGTGGTAAAGGTGGAGATTTGCACAGGGTAAAAGGGATCTTGAAGAAGGAAGGCTATCACTCCATTTTGCAACGCCATCCCATACCCTGTGGACGGCGCTTGATTGGAGCCAATTTCCTCCTACAACAGGACAATGACCCAAAACACAACCCAAACTATGCAATAACTATTTAGGGATGAATAAATGAGGATGACCTGAACTCCAAAATCCCCCAAAATCCCCCAAAGACTCTTTTAAGAGCCACCTCCATATTTCCATCAAAAAGGCACAATTGTTCCATGTATACACGCACCTCTACATTACCCACCATGTATGTTGTTCACTAACACGTCTAAAAGCTACGTATTGCACCTTTTCGTTGCCTGAAGTCTAGCTTCAATGTTTGTGTGTGTGTATGTATATATATATATATATATATATATATATATATATATATATATACAACCATCTGGCATCATCCACTTCCTTTGGACTATAGTAGCACAGTAAAATGCTATACAAAGGAGGGGGGAAAAAAAAAAGTGAAAAATAAATAAATAAAATGTATGCACTCACTAACTGTAAGTCGCTCTGGATAAGAGTGTCTGCTAAAATGACTAAAATGTAAAAATATAAAATAAAATATTTGTGTGTTGACTTTGATCAGGGGCGGGGGAATTTAAGTGTGTCTCGTCTGTTTATTGAACAAAATAACAAACTATTGATTTTATTTGCATGTGCGAAATTGCATTACTGTGTTTTTGACTTTATTCTGGAATCTCAGTTACCTGGTTTGATTAAAAGGGGACCTTGAAATGTTGGAGTTTTTAAATAATCTCTCATTTTTACAACATCTAACCGAGTAGGCAAAACTGGTTGAAATCACCAATTTTTTTCAACCAGTTTCATCCACTGGGAAGGTATTTTTAACATTAAAGTACATTTAAGACTATTTATCTTATTAATAATAAATGATATGATATGTTATCAATCATGAAATGTCATGGTAAATTACTTTGATAATTACCTTTGGTAATATTAATTATTTGGTCTCCATGGCAACAGCACACATGGCAAATTGCTTTCATGAAATGTTTTATTTATTTTGGTTATATTTTTTCCAAAACTGCTCTGACAACTTGCTATCAGTCTGCCAGCCAGCTTCTCCCTCTCTCCTCGTCTCCTTCGCATGCCATTCACTGTCTGCATGGCTTGAGCTCTCTTGCTGTCTGCCTGGCGGTGCCTGTTCGCCAGAGGCCTCCACCGACCCCCAGACCTCACCTCTCTCTGGGCTCCAGCCCTAACCTCTCTCTGGGCCCTAGCCCTCACCTCTCTCTGGGCCCTAGCCCTCACCTCTCTCTGGGAACCAGCCCTCACCTCTCTCTGGGCCCTAGCCCTAACCTCTCTCTGGGCCCCAGCCCTCACCTCTCTCTGGGCCCTAGCCCTAACCTCTCTCTGGGCCCCAGCCCTCACCTCTCTCTGGGCCCTAGCCCTCACCTCTCTCTGGGTCCTAGCCCTCACCTCTCTCTGGGCCCCAGCCCTCACCTCTCTCTGGGCCCCAGCCCTCACCTCTCTCTGGCCCCCAGCCCTCACCTCTCTCTGGGCCCTAGCCCTAACCTCTCTCTGGGCCCCAGCCCTCACCTCTCTCTGGGCCCTAGCCCTAACCTCTCTCTGGGCCCCAGCCCTCACCTCTCTCTGGGCCCCAGCCCTCACCTCTCTCTGGGCCCCATCCCTCACCTCTCTCTGGGCCCCATCCCTCACCTCTCTCTGGGCCCCATCCCTCACCTCTCTCTGGGCCCCTGCCCTCACCTCCCTCTGGGCCCCAGCCCTCACCTCTCTCTGGGCCCCATCCCTCACCTCTCTCTGGGCCCCTGCCCTCACCTCTCTCTGGGCCCCATCCCTCACCTCTCTCTGGGCCCCTGCCCTCACCTCCCTCTGGGCCCCAGCCCTCACCTCTCTCTGGGCCCCATCCCTCACCTCTCTCTGGGCCCCAGCCCTCACCTCTCTCTGGGCCCCAGCCCTCACCTCTCTCTGGGCCCCAGCCCTCACCTCTCTCTGGGCCCCATCCCTCACCTCTCTCTGGGCCCCATCCCTCACCTCTCTCTGGGCCCCTGCCCTCACCTCCCTCTGGGCCCCAGCCCTCACCTCTCTCTGGGCCCCAGCCCTCACCTCTCTCTGGGCCCCAGCCCTCACCTCTTTCTGGCCCCCCGCCCCTCACCTCTCTCTGGGCCCCATCCCTCACCTCTCTCTGGGCCCTAGCCCTAACCTCTCTCTGGGCCCTAGCCCTCACCTCTCTCTGGGCCCCATCCCTCACCTCTCTCTGGGCCCCAGCCCTCACCTCTCTCTGGGCCCCAGCCCTCACCTCCCTCTGGGACCCAGCCCTCACCTCTCTCTGGGCCCCAGCCCTCACCTCTCTCTGGCCCCCGCCCCTCACCTCTCTCTGGGCCCCATCCCTCACCTCTCTCTGGGCCCCATCCCTCACCTCTCTCTGGGCCCCTGCCCTCACCTCCCTCTGGGCCCCAGCCCTCACCTCTCTCTGGGCCCCAGCCCTCACCTCTCTCTGGGCCCCAGCCCTCACCTCTTTCTGGCCCCCCGCCCCTCACCTCTCTCTGGGCCCCATCCCTCACCTCTCTCTGGGCCCCAGCCCTCACCTCTCTCTTCAATTTTTCCCGTTGACTGATCTTTCCTTTGTCCCTCAGTCAACGAAGTTACTGCCAACCCCTGACAACATCGCCCTCTGACTATATACTCTCTCTTTCTCTCTCTCTCTTTCTCTCTTTCTCTCTTTCTCTCTCTCTTTCACTCTTTCTCTCTGTCTCTCTCTCTCTGTCTGTATCTCTGTCTCTGTCTCTGTCTCTGTCTCTCTCTCTCTCGCTCTCTCTCTCTCTCTCTCTCTCTCTGTCTCTGTCTCTGTCTCTTTCTCTCTGTCTCTGTCTCTGTCTCTGTCTCTGTCTCTGTCTCTTTCTCTCTGTCTCTCTCTCTCTCTTTCCCTCTGTCTCTGTCTCTCTCTCTGTCTCTGTCTCTCTCTCTCTCTGTCTCTCTCTCTGTCTCTCTCTCTCTCTCTCTCTCTCTCTCTCTTTCTCTCTGTATCTCTCTCTCTCTCTCTCTTTCTCTCTCTTTCTCTCCCTGCCCCACTGCCCCACTGCCATGCTCTCCTCTTCCGCTTGGTCCAACTAGTGCTTCATCTTGGTTGTCTGTCTGTCTACTCCTGGTTTTGACCTAGTCTGTCTGGCCATGTCCGATTTAGACATTTTTATTGTATGTGAAATTGCGAAAATGTAGTGCTTTTCGTCTAGTAGAATTCGAACCTATTACATAACAGAACCAACCTCATACATAGCAGAACCAACCTATTGCATAACAGAACCAACCTCATGCATAACAGAACCAACCTCATGCATAACAGAACCAACCTCATGCATAACAGAACCAACCTCATGCATAACAGAACCAACCTCATGCATAACAGAACCAACCTCAAATTAGGTTGAGATGATAATGGTATTTTCTGATGATAATTTCTGATGATGATGATGGTAATTTCTGATGATGATGATGGTAATTTATTTGCTATTGGATACTACCATTTCGATGTTCATATACAAATACATTTGTATGCTATGCATCCCCTAATCTGCAATATGAAATCCCAAACCATGTATATATATTTTTTGATATACAGTACCAGTCAAAAGTTTGGACACACCTACTCATTCCAGGGTTTTTCTTTATTTTTTACTATTTTCTACATTGTAGAATAATAGTGAAGACATCAAAACTATGAAATAACACATATGGAATCATGTAGTAACCAAAAAAGTGTTAAACAAATCAAAATATATTTTATATTTGAGATTCTTCAAAGTAGCCACTCTTTAAGTTGATGACAGCTTTGCACACTCTTGGCATTAGTCTAAAGGTATAACACTGGCAGGACCGCTGTCTAGAGGTAATACACTGGCAGGACCGCTGTCTAGAGGTATAACACTGGCAGAACTGCTGTCTAGAGGTAAAACACTGGCAGGACCGCTGTCTAGAGGTAATACACTGGCAGGACCGCTGTCTAGAGGTAATACACTGGCAGGACCGCTGTCTAGAGGTAATACACTGGCAGGACCGCTGTCTAGAGGTAATACACTGGCAGGACCGCTGTCTAGAGGTAAAACACTGGCAGGACCGCTGTCTAGGGGTAATACACTGGCAGGACCGCTGTCTAGAGGTAATACACTGGCAGGACCGCTGTCTAGAGGTAAAACACTGGCAGGACCGCTGTCTAGAGGTAAAACACTGGCAGGACCGCTGTCTAGAGGTATAACACTGGCAGGACCACTGTCTAGAGGTAAAACACTGGCAGGACCGCTGTCTAGAGGTAAAACACTGGCAGGACTGCTGTCTAGAGGTAAAACACACGCAGGACTGCTGTCTAGAGGTAAAACACTGGCAGGACCGCTGTCTAGAGGTAAAACACTGCACTGGAAGGACTGCTGTCTAGAGGTAATACACTGGCAGGACCGCTGTCTAGAGGTAAAACACTGCACTGGAAGGACTGCTGTCTAGAGGTAATACACTGGCAGGACCGCTGTCTAGAGGTAAAACACTGGCAGGACCGCTGTCTAGAGGTAAAACACTGGCAGGACCGCTGTCTAGAGGTAATACACTGGCAGGACCGCTGTCTAGAGGTAATACACTGGCAGGACCGCTGTCTAGAGGTAATACACTGGCAGGACCGCTGTCTAGAGGTATAACACTGGCAGAACCGCTGTCTAGAGGTAATACACTGGCAGGACTGCTGTCTAGAGGTAATACACTGGCAGGACCGCTGTCTAGAGGTATAACACTGGCAGAACCGCTGTCTAGAGGTAATACACTGGCAGGACCGCTGTCTAGAGGTATAACACTGGCAGGACCGCTGTCTAGAGGTAAAACACTGCACTGGAAGGACTGCTGTCTAGAGATATAACACTCGCAGGACTGCTGTCTAGAGGTAAAACACTGGCAGGACCGCTGTCTAGAGGTAAAACACTGCACTGGAAGGACTGCTGTCTAGAGGTAATACACTGGCAGGACCGCTGTCTAGAGGTAAAACACTGGCAGGACCGCTGTCTAGAGGTAAAACACTGCACTGGAAGGACTGCTGTCTAGAGGTAAAACACTGGCAGGACCGCTGTCTAGAGGTAAAACACTGGCAGGACCGCTGTCTAGAGGTAATACACTGGCAGGACCGCTGTCTAGAGGTAATACACTGGCAGGACCGCTGTCTAGAGGTAATACACTGGCAGGACCGCTGTCTAGAGGTAATACACTGGCAGGACCGCTGTCTAGAGGTAATACACTGGCAGGACCGCTGTCTAGAGGTAAAACACTGGCAGGACCGCTGTCTAGAGGTAATACACTGGCAGGACCGCTGTCTAGAGGTAATACACTGGCAGGACCGCTGTCTAGAGGTATAACACTGGCAGAACCGCTGTCTAGAGGTATAACACTGGCAGGACCGCTGTCTAGAGGTATAACACTGGCAGGACCGCTGTCTAGAGGTAAAACACTGCACTGGAAGGACTGCTGTCTAGAGGTAATACACTGGCAGGACCGCTGTCTAGAGTTAATACACTGGCAGGACCGCTGTCTAGAGGTATAACACTGGCAGGACCGCTGTCTAGAGGTATAACACTGGCAGGACCGCTGTCTAGAGGTAAAACACTGGCAGGACCGCTGTCTAGAGGTAAAACACTCGCAGGACTGCTGTCTAGAGGTAAAACACTGGCAGGACCGCTGTCTAGAGGTAATACACTGGCAGGACCGCTGTCTAGAGGTAATACACTGGCAGGACTGCTGTCTAGAGGTATAACACTGGCAGGACCGCTGTCTAGAGATATAACACTGGCAGGACTGCTGTCTAGAGGTAAAACAATGGCAGGACCGCTGTCTAGAGGTAAAACACTGCACTGGAAGGACTGCTGTCTAGAGGGGGGGGGGGGGGCTGACTATTTTCTTAGTCAGAGAGAGCGCAGGGCTAGTAGGGCTGATAGGGATGGGGCTGGCTGCTGCTATGTGGGAAATAAATGGCTGGATGGTGTTGACTCCCTGCCCCAGCCTCCACGACACGGTTTCTGTTGAACATCCAGCTTTGGAGGGAAGGAGGTGGGAATAGAAGAGAGGGGGGGAGAGGAGAGGGGAGGAAGGAAGTGTTGGTTGCTACAGCTGGGTGTATAATTGTTCTCAGGTCCCTGGCTAACAGAACAGTGTGTGGGAGCTAGCCCGGCTGGGGGTCTCTGGGTCAGAGTGGTAGATGAGGAGGAACCAGGTGTGACAGGGCTGTGTGGGAGCTAGTCAGGCTGGGGGTCTCTGGGTCAGAGTGGTAGATGAGGAGGAACCAGGTGTGACAGGGCTGTGTGGGAGCTAGTCAGGCTGGGGGTCTCTGGGTCAGAGTGGTAGATGAGGAGGAACCAGGTGTGACAGGGCTGTGTGGGAGCTAGTCAGGCTGGGGGTCTCTGGGTCAGAGTGGTAGATGAGGAGGAACCAGGTGTGACAGGGCTGTGTGGGAGCTAGTCAGGCTGGGGGTCTCTGGGTCAGAGTGGTAGATGAGGAGGAACCAGGTGTGACAGGGCTGTGTGGGAGCTGGCCAGGCTGGGCCAGCAGTAGATGAGTAAGGGTTAGCTCTCTGGTTCTAATGGCCCTCACTCCTCTCCGCCTCAACCTCACATAGCTTTACGCACTCTGTACTGAGACACACAATTTGATAACCCTTTTCTGTGTATATGTGCGCACGCGTCTTATAATAATAAAATATTAATATAATATAATAATATAATATAATATGCCATTTAGCAGACGCTTTTATCCAAAGCGACTTACAGTCATGCGTGCATACATTTTTGTGTATGGGTGGTCCCGGGGATCGAACCCACCTTGGCGTTACAAGCGCCGTGCTCTACCAGCTGAGCTACAGAGGACCGCTACAGATGATCTTGGTGGTCCTTTGAGCCGGATCTCGAATAAATTATTAATTAAATGTAAATTATTATACTTTTCTATTACAATATTTCATGAATAGTTTTTCTCGGTGTAACATATCTCTATGTTAAAGTTATCATCTCCTCTCCTGATGTTAACACCGGCTTGTATATCATATGTTGTGTATCTAATCTCTGTGTTATATAATGTGCATATATACTGAACAAAAATATAAACACAACATGTAAGGTGTTGGTCCCAGGCTTCATGAGCTGAAATAAAAAATCCCTGAAATTTTCCATACACACAAAAAGCGTATTTCTCTCATTTTGTTCACAAATTTGTTTACATCCCTGTTAGTGAGCATTTCTCCTTTGCCAAGATAATCCATCCACTTGACAGGTGTGCCATATCAAGAATCTTGTGCTGGGGACTATAAAAGGCCACTCTAAAATGTGCAGTTTTGTCACACAACAAAATGCCACAGATGTCTCAAGTTTTAAGGGAGCGTGCAATTGGCATGCTGACTGCAGGAATGTCCACCAGAGCTGTTGCCAGAGAATTGAATGTTGATTTATCTTCCATAAGCCACCTCCAACGTCATTTTAGAGAATTTGGCAGTACGTCCAACTGGCCTCACAACCGCAGACCATGTGTAACCACGCCAGCCCAGGACCTCCACACCCGGCTTCTTCACCTGCGGGATCATCTCAGACCAGCCACCCGGACAGCTGATGAAACTGTGGGTTTGCACAACCAAATAATTTCTACTCAAACTGTCAGAAACCGTCTCAAGTAAGCTCATCTGCGTGCTCGTCGTCCTGACCAGGGTCTTGACCTGACTGCAGTTTGGCGTCATAACCGACTTCACTGGGAAAATGCTCACCTTCGATGGCCACTGGTACGCTGGAGAAGTGTAATCTTCACAGATGAAACCCAGTTTCAACTGTACCAGGCAGATGGCAGACAGCGTGTATGGCGTCGTGTGGGTGAGCAGTTTGCTGATGGGTGCCCAATGGTGGCGGTGGGGTTATGGTATGGGCATGCATAATGTACTGACAACGAACAGAATTGCATTTTATCGATGGCAATTTGAATGCACAGACACACCGTGACGAGATCCTGAGGCCCATTGTCGTGCCATTCATCCACCACCATCACCTCATGTTTCAGCATGATAATGCACGGCCCCATGTTGGAAGGATCTGTACACAATTCCTGGAAGCTGAAAATGTCCCAGTTTTTCCATGGTCTGCATACTCACCAGACATGTCTCCAATTGAGCATGTTTGGGGTGCTCTGGATCGACTTGTACGACAGCGTGTTCCAGTTCCCGCCAATATCCAGAAACTTCGCACAGCAATTGCAGAGGAGTGGGACAACATTCCACAGGCCTCAATCAACAGCATGATCAACTCTATGTGAAGGAGATGTGTTGCGCTGCATGAGGCAAATGGTGGTCACCAGATACTGACTGGTTTTCTGATCCACGCCCCTACCTTTTTTTTTTTAAGGTATCTGTGACCAACAGATGCATATCTGTATTCCCAGTCATGTGAAATCCATAGATTAGGGCCTAATTTATTGATTTAAATTGACTGATTTCCTTAAATGTACTGTAACTCAGTAGAATCTTTGAAATTGTTGTGTTATATTTTTGTTCAGTGTAGTTATAATGTGTATCTAATATCTGTGTTATATAATATATATAAAATCATATGTTGTGTAAGTGTCCTTTAAAACAGTCCCCCCCCCCCCCCCCCCCCCCCCTCTCAGCCCCATGGCAAAATGTGTAGAATTGAAGAAAAGTAGCTTTAAAACAGCAAAGTGTTGTCTCTGGGCAAAAGAGGAGTCGAAGATGGCAACGTTGGCTACGCCCACTACCCCCCTGCGTTTCTGTGTGTGTATATACAGTGGGGAAAAAAAGTATTTAGTCAGCCACCAATTGTGCAAGTTCTCCCACTTAAAAAGATGAGAGAGGCCTGTCATTTTCATCATAGGTACACGTCAACTATGACAGACAAATTGAGAAGAAAAAAATCCAGAAAATCACATTGTAGGATTTTTTATGAATTTATTTGCAAATTATGGTGGAAAATACGATACGTTGTGTATCTAATATCTGTGTGTGTGTGTGTATATATATATATATATATGTGCTGTGTATCTCTGCGTGTGTATATACAGTATATGTTGTATATCTCGTGTGTATATATATATATACACACACAGTTGAAGTCGGAAGTTTACATAAACCTTAGCCAAATACATTTAAACTAAGTTTTTCACAATTCCTGACATAAAAAAAAAAAAATCCCTGTTTTAGGTCAGTTAGGATCACCACTTTATTTTAAGAGTGTGAAATGTCAGAATAATAGTAGAGAGAATTATTTATTTCTGCTTTTATTTCTTTCATCACGTTCCCAGTGGGTCAGAATATTACATACACTCAATTAGTATTTGGTAGCATTGCCTTTAAATTGTTTAACTTGGGTCAAAGTTTTCGGGTAGCCTTCCACAAGCTTCCCATAATAAGTTGGGTGAATTTTGGCCCATTCCTCCTGACAGAGCTGGTGTAACTGAGTCAGGTTTGTAGGCCTCCTTGCTCGCACACGCTTTTTCAGTTCTGCCCACAAATCTTCTATAGGATTGAGGTCAGGGCTTTGTGATGACCACTCCAATACCTAGACTTTGTTGCCCTTAAGCCATTTTGCCACAACTTTGGAAGTATGCTTGGCGTTATTGTCCATTTGGAAGACCCATTTGCGACCAAGCTTTACCTTCCTGACTGATGTCTTGAGATGTTGCTTCAATATATCCACATAATTTTCCTTCCTTCCTCATGATGCCATCTCTTTTGTGAAGTGCACCAGTCCCTCCTGCAGCAAAGCACCCCCACAGCATGATGCTGCCACCCCTGTGCTTCACGGTTGGGATGGTGTTCTTTGGCTTGCAATCCTTTCCCTTTTTCCTCCAAACATAACGATTGTCATTATGGCCAAACAGTTCTACTGGTTCTAACCAGAATATGTAACAGTGAAGAGGCGACTCCGGGATGCTGACCTTCTTGGCAGAGTTGCAAAGAAAATGCCCATCTTAATCTTTTCTTTTTATTGGCCAGTCTGAGATATGGCTTTTTCTTTGCAACTCTGCCTAGAAGGTCAGCATCCCGGAGTCGCCTCTTCACTGTTGACGTGGAGACTGGTGTTTTGCGGGTACTATTTAATGAAGCTGCGAGTTGATGACCTGTAAGGCGCCTGTTTCTCAAACTAGACACTAATTTATTTGTCCTCTTGCTCAGTTGTGCACCGGGGCCTCCCACTCCTCTTTCCATTCTGGTTAGAGACAGTTTGCACTGTTCTGTGAAGGGAGTAGTACACAGCGTTGTATGAGATTTTCAGTTTCTTGGCAATTTCTCGCATGGAATAGCCTTCATTTCTCAGAACAAGAATAGACCGACGAGTTTCAGAAGAAAGTTATTTGTTTCTGGCCATTTTGATCCTGTAATCAAACTCACAATTGCTGATGCTCCAGATACTCAACTAGTCTCAAGAAGGCCAGTTTTATTGCTTCTTTAATCAGCACAACAGTTTTCAGCTGTGCTAACATAATTGCAAAAGGGCTTTCTAATGATCAATTAGCCTTTTAAAATGATAAACTTGGATTAGCTCACACAACGTGCCATTGGAACACAGGACTGATGGTTGCTGATAATGGGCCTCTGTACGCCTACGTAGATATTCCATAAAAAAATCAGCAGTTTCCAGCTACAATAGCCATTTACAACATTAACAATGTCTATACTGTATTTCTGATCAATTTGATGTTATTTTAATGGACAAAATAATTGCTTTTCTTTCAAAAACAAAAACATTTCTAAGTGACCCCAAACTTTTGAACGGTAGTGTATATGTTGTGTATCTATGTGTGTGTATATATACACTACTGGTCAAAAGTTTGGACACACCTACTCATTCAAGGGTTTTTCTTTATTTTTACTATTTTCTACATTGTAGAATAATAGTGAAGACATTAAAACTATGAAATAACACATATGGAATCATGTAGTAACCAAAAAATTGTTAAACAAATCAAAATATATTTTATATTTGAGATTCTTCAAATAGCCACCCTTCGCCTTGATGACAGCTTTGCACACTCTTGGCATTCTCTCAACCAGCTTCATGAGGTAGTCACCTGGAATGCATTTCAATTAACAGGTGTGCCTTCTTAAAAGTTAATTTGTGGAATTTCTTTCCTTCTTAATGCGTTTGAGCCAATCAGTTGTGTTGTGACAAGGTAGGGGGGTATACAGAAGATAGCCCTATTTGGTAAAAGACCAAGTCTATATTATGGCAAGAACAGCTCAAATAAGCAAAGAGAAATGACAGTCCATCATTACTTTAAGACATGAAGGTCAGTCAATACAGAACATTTCAAGAACTTTGAAAGTTTCTTCAAGTGCGGTCGCAAAAACCATCAAGCGCTATGATGAAACTGGCTCTCATGATGACCGCCACAGGAATGGAAGACCCAGAGTTACCTCTGCTGCAGAGGATAAGTTCATTATAGTTACCAGCCTCAGAAATTGCAGCCCAAATATATGCTTCACAGAGTTCAAGTAACAGACACATCTCAACATCAACTGTTCAATCCGCCCTTAATCCTCACCAGCTCCCAGTTAGTCCTATCCGGGGAGCCCGTCGAGACCTGGCACGTCCAGCAGATGGAGCCACCGCCTCGTGATGTATACTCCATCTGTTACCAGGCCTCGACGAGTCTTCCCCTGGTGGCTGTCCTTGCTTCTGGGCCGAGTCGAGGTCCTCACTGCTCGGGACCACCACTGGTACCGTTGGCGTCCTGGGTCCCGACCATAACACGGCCAAGGCTGTCCTCTCGTGCCACTTCTTCAACAGGTTCACGTGGTAAATCTGTTGAGGTTTCCGTCTCCCCGGTTGCCGTACGCGGTAGTTGACAGGTCCCAGTTTCTCTACCACCTCGTATGGTCCGCGCCATGTTGCCAGGAACTTACTTTCGGCCGTGGGGATCAACACCAACATCCTGTCTCCCACCTGGAATTCTCGGCGCTGGGCTCCCCGATTGTAGACCTGGGCTTGGGCGCGTTGGGCCTTCTCCATATGTTCCCTCACGACTGGCCATATGGCTGTCATCCGCTCCCGCATCGTCTCCACGTGCTCTACCACGCTGCGTAAGGGGGTCGGTTGGGCTTCCCACACCTCCTTGGCGAGGTCCAGTAGGCCACGGGGAAAACCCAGTGGAGGATTGGGGTACTTCTCGGATTGAGAACATTAGGTGGGGTAGCAGCTGGTCTCAGTTCTTCCCGTCCTGCTCGATGACCTTCCGTAGCATCTGTTAGAGCGTTTTGTTAAAGCGCTCAACGAGCCCATCCGTCTGCGGGTGAAAAACGGAGGTCCGGATCTGCTTGATCTGCATGAGGGCACACAACTCTTTAATGAGGCGGGACATAAACTCTGTACCTTGGTCAATCAGGATCTCGTTCGGGATGCCCACCCGGCTAAAGAGGTGGAACAGCTCCCGGGCGATTCCCTTGGATACCGCCGCCCGTAGGGGAATGGCCTCGGGATACCGGGTGGCATAGTCTACTATTACCAAGATGTACCTGTGTCCTCGTGCAGCCTTTACCAGAGGTCCCACTATGTCCAGAGTCTAATAGCGCTTCCGTGTCGTGTCCGTCAACCTTCACCGGGACCATGGGGGCAGTTGATTCATGGTGCGCCCAACAGGAGGTGACATAGTTCACGGCGTGACCCACCTGGCCTCTGGTGCTAGCTGATTGCATCGACTCATCTCGAGCAGGGCAATTCCAGGCAATGTGTCCCCGGGCGCCACACTCAAAACACCTCTGTTGGTCTCCATCTACATGGGGTCGTCAGTGGCGGGTCGGCCCTTCCCCAGCCGTCTCTCCACGGGTTTGCGGTCCCTTGGCCCTGCCGACCGTCGGTTCGGGGTACACCGCGGTGGGGTTGTCCTTCCGTCCCCTCGCACAGGTCGCCGACTCATCCCGGCTCCCCCTCAGTAGGGCCTGAGTTTTCTGATGCTTCTCCACTGCTCCACTGCTTCCGCATAGGCTTGCTGCCCTCTTCATGTCGTGGGGTAGCGCCTGTACGAAGTGATCCAGGACCACTTTGTCGAGGAGGGAGAGGGTGGATATGTCGGTTAGGAGCCATGCCCTGGTGACGCGCAGAAGGTCGCTCATCTGGGCTCGGGGGGATGTGTCGGGTACGAACCTCCAGTCGTGGAACCGTTGAGCCCGATGGGCCAGGCTGCACCTGTAGCGGCTGAGTATCTCCCGTTTGAGTCCGTCATAGTTATCCGCCTGTTCGTCGTTCAGGTCCCAATACGCCTTTTGGGCATTCCCAGAGAGGAACGGGGCCAGCAGACTTGCCCACTTCGGCCTTGGCCATCCTTCCCGTAGTGCTCTCCGTTCAAACGTACAGAGGTATGTTTCAATGTCAACGTCTTCCGGTAGCTTGATTAAAAACTGGTTGGGATGGGATTCAGGAGACGCTCCTCCTTGCAGCTTCCTGACTTCCTCCACGAGGCGGACGTTTTGTAGTCGCTGTTCCTCCAGCGTTCGTTCCTGAACCGCCTGTTGTGCTTGTTGGGCCCGGACGAACTGAGCTATCAACTCGTCCATGCTGATGCTGTGTAAACGTCAACCCTGATCTGACCACGTTATCAAAATGCCCGTATTCTCCACCACTTGTGGCAGATCAGGGGGTTGGGTCAAGACGTTTACACAGATCAGACACGGACAGAGTAGGATTAGCTCGGTTTCAAGGGTGTTTATTAATAAAATAATCAAAAGAAAAGGTTAGGTCTCCCCCATGAGATCCTCTCCAGGATACCATCTCCAACTACACGGAAGTTACCTTACTTCCCCCAGTCCTCTTCCATGTTCTGCCCTTCTGGCAGCTTTATGGGCCTTGCACAGCTGGTGAGCAATCCGCCCTTAATTACTCACCAGCTCCCAATCAGCCCCAATTAGTCCTGTCCGGGGAGCCTGTCGAGACCTGGCACGTCCAGCAGATGGAGCCACCGCCTCGTGATGTATACTCCATCTGTTACCAGGCCTCGACGAGTCTCCCCCTGGTGGCTGACCTGCTGTACGCCACAATATATAAATGTTGTCTATCTCTCTGTATATATATATATATATATATATATATATATATATGTGTGTGTCTCTGTGTTTCCAGGTGAGAGAGGCTGCCCAGGCCTTGCTCCTGGCTGAGCTGCGGAGGATTGGTCAGTCAGGCAGGAAGGACACCATCGACCTGTGGGCACCCTACCTGCCCCAGTACGTGGACCAAGTCGGCTCACGTAAGTCTACGCTGGTCCTTCAAGCCGGATCTATGAGCCTGTGTGTGTGTGTGGGTTATACAGTCAGTCACATTCATATTCATATTCTATAGCAAACCTCAGTCAGAGCTGCCCAGTCTTGTCCACAAGCACATAGAAAAGTGAGCCAGCCAGGATCCCAGGGTCTGGGTTAAGATTTTTTTGCCAAACAAGCTCTATTTTGGTGGCCTTGTGTACATTATAATGCCATGATTTCATCCGAACTACACAGTTGAATCCATATATTTTTGTTATGAAAGGTTACATTTAAAATCAAACAGTGTGATGGGCACTTTTTCAAATGGAAAAATTGTTTTCTAAAAGAAACAGAACAGATGCTCAATTAGGTTATCGATGCATCATACGGGTATGATTTCTGTATTTCGAAAGTTACATATCTTGAAAACTTGATTGCTGACAAGCAAAACATTTTGGGACTATATCAACAATGGACCAATGAAACAAACACCAGAAGATAGTTTTTGGGTCGAGTTTTCCTTGGAGAGAGAGAGAGCGACATCAGTTCTGAAAGAGCTGAACAATCTGGACCCCTACAAATCAGCTGGGCTAGACAATCTGGACCCTTTCTTTCTAAAATTAGCCGCCAAAATTGTCGCAACCCCTATTACTAGCCTGTTCAACCTCTCTTTCGTAACGTCTGAGATCACCAGAAATTGGGAAACTGCCACGGTCATCCCCCTCTTCAAAGCGGGTGACACTCTAGATCCAAACTGTTACAGACCTATATCCATCCTGCCCTGCCTTTCGAAAGTTTTTGAAAGCCAAGTTAACAAACAGATCACCGACCATTTCAAATCCCTCCGTACCTTCTCCGCTATGCAATCCGGTTTCCGAGCTGGTCATGGGTGCACTTCAGCCACGCTCAAGGTCCTAAACGATATTATAACCGCGATTGATAATAGACAGTACTGTGCAGCCGTCTTCATCGACCTGGCCATCGACCTGACTCTGTCAACTACCGCATTCTTATTGGCAGACTAAATAGCCTTGGTTTCTCAAATGACTGCCTCGCCTGGTTCACCAACTACTTCTCAGATAGGGTTCAATGTGTCAAATCGGAGGGCCTGTTGTCTGGACCTCTGGCAGTCTCTATGGGGGTGCCACAGGGTTCAATTCTCGGTCCGACTCTATTCTCTGTGTATATCAATGATGTTGCTCTTGCTGCTGGTGACGCTCGGATCCACCTCTATGCGGACAACACAATTTTGTATACATCTGGCCCTTCATTGGACACTGTGTTAACAAACCTCCAAACGAGCTTCAACGCTAAACAACACTCCTTCTGTAGCCTCCAACTGCTCTTAAACACTAGTAAAACTAAATGCATGCTCTTCAACCGAACACTGCTTGCACCCGCCCACCCGACTAGAATCACTACTCTCGACGGGTCTGACCTAGAGTATGTGGACAACTACAAATAAGCATCTCCAATCAAAAGTTAGATCTAGAATCGGCTTCCTATTTCGCAACAAAGCCTCCTTCACTCATGCTGCCAAACATGCCCTCGTAAAACTGACTATCCTACCGATCCTTGACTTCGGCGATGTCATTTACAAAATAGCCTCCAACACTACTCAGCAAATTGGATGTAGTCTATCACAGTGCCATCCATTTTGTCACCAAAGCCCTATATACTACCCACCACTGTGACCTGTACGCTCTTGTTGGCTGGTCCTCACTACATATTCGTCGGCAATAAGGCAAATCCCCGCCTTATCTTAGCTCACTGGTCACCATAGCAACACCCACCCGTAGTCTGCGCTCCAGCAGGTATATCTCACTGGTCATCCCCAAAGCCAACACCTCCTTTGGCCGCCATTCCTTCCAGTTCTCTGCTGCCAATGACTGAAACGAACTGCAAAAATCTCTGAAGCTGGAGACTCTTATCTCCCTCACTATCTTTAGGCGTCAGTTGTCAGAGCACCTTACCGATCACTGCACCTGTACACAGCGCATCTGTAATTAGCCCATCCAACTACCTCATCCCCATATTGTTATTTATTTTGCTAATTTGCATCCCAGTATCTCTATTTGCACATCATCTTTTGCACATCTATCATTCCAGTGTTAATATGAAATTGTAACTATTTTGCACTATGGCCTATTTATTGCCTTACCTCCATAATTTACTACATTCGCACACACTGTATATGTATTTTCTGTTGTATTTTGGACTTTATGTTTTTTTTACCCCATATGTAACTCTGTGTTGTTGTTTTTATCGCACTGCTTTGCTTTATCTTGGCCAGGTCGCAGTTGTAAATGAGAACTTGTTCTCAACTGGCTTAACCTGGTTAAATAAAGGTGAAATAAAAAATAAATAAAAGTTAAATTAGTGAAAGAATTTCAGAAAGTGTTTGCAACTCTCTCTGTGAATTGCAGTATGTTATGTATTTAAAAACATACATGTTTAACAACTGACCCACAGATTTCTTCTGAAATAATAAGAGCCTGCTGACTACCATAGGCTTCAAGCTTCCTTTGAACCCTTAGCTTTCAATATCCCTGGCCCCACGGAAACCTAATTAATATAGAGCTCACAGCCATGCAATCTCTACAGCGATAAATTGGCAGTAGAATGGCCTTAATGAAGAGCTCAGTCCCTTTCAACGTGACACCGTCATTGGATGCGGCCTTTCCAACAAGTCAGTTCATCAAATTTCTGCCCTGCTAGAGCTGTACTGGTCAACTGTAAGTGCTGTTATTGTGAAGTGGAAACGTCTAGGAGCAACAACGGCTCAGCCCACACAAGCTCACAGAATGGGACCGCTGAAGTGCGTAGCTTGTAAAAACACTCGAACACCCAAACTGCTCCTGTGCTTCATGAAATGGGTTTCCATGGCCGAGCAGCCGCACACATGCCTTAGATCTCTATGCGCAGTGCCAAGCATCGGCTGGAGTGGTGGAAAGCCCGCCGTCATTGGAAACTCGTTCTCTGGAGTGATGAATCCCGCTTCACCATCTGGCAGTCCGACGGACTAATCTGGTTTTGGTGGATGCCAGGAGAACGCTACCTGCCCAAATCCATAGTGCCACCTGTAAAGTTTGGTGGAGGAGGAATAATGGTCTGGGGCTGTTTTTCATGATTCAGGCTAGGCCCCTTAGTTCCAGTGAAGGGAAATCTTAACGCTACAGCATACAATGACATTCTAGACAATTCTGTAATTCCAGCTTTGTGGCAACAGTTTGTGGAAGGCCCTTTCCTGTTTCAGCATGACAATGCTGCTGTGCACAAAGTGAGGTCCATACAGAAATGGTTTGACGAGACTGGTGTGGAAGAACTTGACTGGCCTACAAAGAGCCCTGACCTCAACCCCATCAAACACCTTTGGGAAGAATTGAAACGCCGACAGCGAGCCAGGCCTAATCACCCGACCTCAGTGCCCAACCTCACTAATGCTCTTGTGGCTGAATGGAAGCAAGTCCCCGCAGCAATTTTCCAACATCTAGTGGAAAGCCTTCCCAGAAGAGTGGTAGGCTGTTATAGCAGCAAAGGGGGGACCAACTCCATATTAATGCTCATGATTTTGGAGTAAGACGTTCGACGAGCAGGTGTCCACATACTGTTGGTCATATACAGAACAAACGTCCATGTTTTTGGACACTCTGTTGTTCATTGTGTTTGTATGGGCTAATAGCAGTAAAGACGATCTGTTGTTCAATGTAGTGAATCTGTTATTCAATGTGTTTCTATTGGCTAATAGCAGTAATGCCAAATTAAATGTTTAATCAAATTATTTTGGGGGATATTCTTTTTGATATCTTAAGGGGACTTACAATTCAAAATCAAATAGCTGAATGATCGTTGGTATGACAATCTCTAAACAATTCCATATGTTAGCTTCCCCCTAGAGTCGATGTCCACACCCCCGTGGAAATCTAATTAGCATAATAAAAACATCCCAATCACATCAGTCTGTTTAAGCATGGGCCGCATCTCAATCCACCGCATCCACCAATGGTGGCCTTCCGCATCCACCAATGGAAGGGTAGCCGAGCTACAGGGATGTTTGTTAGACCATGAGACATACCGAACATCGGTCTTCTCACAAAAACGTCTGTAGCGTCCGAATACACTAATATGACCCCTCTATGGAAAGGTTAGACTCTAGGACGCGCACAAGCCTCACAAGACTCGTCTGAAGGTAGTCCCGGTACCAGTTTTAAAAAATGATTAGAAGTACAGTGCATTCGGAAAGTATTCAGACCCCTTGACTTTCTCCACATTTTGTTGCGTTACAGCCTTATTCTAAAATGGATTAAATAAATAAAAAAACATGAATACCTAATTTAAATAAGTATTCAGCCACTTTGTTATGAGACTCTAAATTGAGCTCAGGTGCATCCTGTTTACATTGATCATCCTTGAGATGTTTCTACAACTTGATTGGAGTCCACCTGTGGTCAATTCAATTGATTGGACATGATTTGGAAAGGAACACACCTTTCTATATAAGGTCTTACAGTTGACAGTGCATGTCAGAGCAAAAACCAAGCCATGATGTCGAAGGAATTGTCCGTAGAGCTCTGAGACAGGATTGTGTCGAGGCACAGATCTGGGGATTGAAGAAATGTGGAACCCCCAAGACTCTACCTAGAGCTGGCCGCCTGGCAAAACTGAGCAATCGGGGGAGAAGGGCCTTGGTCAGGGAGGTGACCAAGAACCTGATGGTCACTCTGACAGCGCTCCAGAGTTCCTCTGTGGAGATGGGAGAACATTCCAGAAGGACAACCATCTCTGCAGCACTCCACCAATCAGGCCTTTATGTTAGAGTGGCTAGACGGAAGCCACTCCTCAGTAAAAGGCACATGACAGCCCTCTTGGAGTTTGCCAAAAGGCACCTAAAGAATCTCAGACCATGATAAACAAGATTTTCTGGTCTGAGGAAACCAAGATTGAACTCTTTGGCCTGAATGCCAAGCGTCACGTCTGGAGGGATGCATGGTGGTGGCAGCATCATGCTGTGGGGATGTTTTTCAGCGGCAGGGACTGGGAGACTTGTCAGGATCGAGGGAAAGATGAACAGAGCAAGGTACAGAGATCCTTGATGTCCCTGAATGTCCTTGAGTGGCCCAGCCAGAGCCCGTACTTGAACCCGACGAAACATCTCTGGAGAGACCTGAAGATAGCTGTGCAGCGATGCTCCCCATCCAACCTGACAGAGCTTGAGAGGATCTGCAGAGAAGAATGGGAGAAACTCCCCAAATACAGGTGTGCTAAGCTTGTAGCTTCATACCCAAGAAGACTCGATGCTGTAATCACTGCCAAAGGCGCTTCAACAAAGTACTCAGTCAAGGGTCTGAATACTACTTTCAGTTTTTGGTTTTTATAAATGTGTCAAATTTCTAAACACCTGTTTTTGCTTTGTCATTATGGGGTATTTTGGGTAGATTGATGAGGGAAGAAAAAACGATTTAATCCATTTTAGAATATGGCTGTAACATAACAAAATGTGGAAAAAGTCAAAGGGTCTGAATACTTTCGGAATGCACTGTATAAATGGAAGTAGTTTAGTGCCAACACTTTTTGTTAAATATGGGTAAAAATAAATAATAATAAATAATAATAATATGCCATTTAGCAGACGCTTTTATCCAATGCGACTTACAGTCATGCGTGTATACATTTTTGTGTATGGGTGGTAAATGAATGTTTTTTTTCCTGCTCTTTCTTATATCTCTCAGATATAGGACAGACACTTTAAAACAATCATCCTTTTATTCGTTTTTTTTTGACCATGTGTTTTTCCTTGTATGAATCTGTTATTCAATGTGTTTCTATGGGCTAATAGCAGGAAGACCAAATTCAATGTTTCATCAAATATGTATTTTTTTTTATTATTATACCTAAAGGGGTCCTAAAATTCAAAATCAAATAGCTAAATGATCCTTGGTTTATGACCATCTTAAAACAAATCCATATGTTAACTTTATTTTTTTTAATTGTACTTACGGTTGAGAGTTAGAATAATAGGATAGACAAGGTGCAATTTCGACATGTGGTTGTTCATCAGCAGTCACTCTATTAGCCCAGGTCAGCAATTTCTTTTTAGAATGGTAAATTAGTCTAGCGGAAAGCTATCTAAACTTGTAGTAATCATAGTCGAATTACCGACCGGGGTGGGGCCCATTGATCATCAGTTATCATATTCAAAACTGCAAACATTTGCCTCCGCCCAATGACAAAATGTGTAGAATTGCAGAAAATTTACTTTAAAACTACATTGTTTTTCTCTTCGCTGCAACGCTGCTGGGTTTTTTATGCTCAGCAGTTTCCCATTTGTAACAAGAATGGTCCACCACCCAAAGAACATCCAGCCAACTTGACACAACTGTGGTAAGCATTGGAGTCAACATGGGCCAGCATCCCTGTGGAACGCTTTCGGCACCTTGTAGAGTCCACGCCCCGACGAATCGAGGCTGATGGGGCAAAAAAGGGGTGGGGTGCAACTCAATATTAGGAAGGTGTTCCTAATGTTTTGTACACTCAGTGTAAGTATCATTAGCAATCACATTTGTTCTCTTTTATCATATTTTGGAACAGAGTGAGGCTATCTCTTCACTCGCCTACCTGTTGTTCCTGCAGTGAGGAGGATTCACCTTCTTCATAAGCTTTCATCATTTATCTGCAGATAAATGCCAGTATGCAAAATAGGGAGCTGAATGAACGGCTATCTTAACGATGTGATTCGGTAGGCTATTGACGAGTCACTCACTTTAACGTCATTGTCTTGCAAGTCCTGATGGAAATATACAGTGCCTTCAGAGAGTAGTCATGATGAGATACCATGGACATATACAGTGGGGAGAACAAGTATTTGATACACTGCCGATTTTGCAGGTTTTCCTACTTACAAAGCATGTAGAGGTCTGTAATCTTTTATCATAGGTACACTTCAACTGTGAGATACGGAATCTTAAAACAAAAATCCAGAAAATCACATTGTATGATTTTTAAGTAATTAATTTGCATTTTATTGCAAACAGTGCCTTCAGAAAGTAGTCCTGATGTGATACCATGGAGACACAATACCCCATAATGACAAAGTGAAAACATGTTTTTTGAAATTGTAGCAAATTTATTGAAAATGGAAAAAACAGAAATATCTCATTTACATAAGTATTCACACCCCCTGAGTCAATACATGTTAGAATCACCTTTAGCAGCGATTACAGCTGTGAGTCTTTCTGGGTAAGTCTCTAAGAGCTTTACACACCTGGATTGTAAAACATCTGCACATTATTCTTTTTTTAAATCTTCAAGGTCTGTCAAGTTGGTTGTTGATCGTTGCTAGACAGCCATTTTCAAGTCTTACTATAGATTTTCAAGCCGATTTAAGTCAAAAACTGTAACTTGGCAACTTAGGAACATTAAATGTTGTCTTTGTAAGTAACTTCAGTATATATTTTGCCTGGTGTTTTAGGTTATTGTCCTGCTGAAAAGTGAATTTGTCTCCCATTGTCTGTTGTAAAGCAGACTGAATCAAGTTTTCCTCTAGGATTTTTCCTATTCTGTTTATTTTTATCCTAAAAAAACTCCCTAGTTCTTGCGGATGACAAGCAGCCACCACCATGCTTGAAAATATGAAGAGTGGGACTCAGTGATGTGTTGTTGGATTTGCCCCAAACATAACTCTTTGTATTCAGGACAAAAGTTCATTTCTTTGCCACATTCTTAGCAGTTTTACTTTCATGCCTTATTGCAAACAGGATGCATTTTTTTATTCTGTACAGTCTTCCTTCTTTTCACTCTGTCAATTAGGTTAGTATTGTGGAGTAACTACAGTACAATGTTGTTGATCCATCCTCAGTTTTCTCCTATCCCAGCCATTAAGCTCGGTAACTGTTTTAAAGTTACCGTTGGCCTCATGGTGAAATCCCGGGGCGGTTTCCTTCCTCTCTGGCAACTGAGTTAGGAAGGACACCTGTATCTTTTGTAGTGACTGGGTGTTTTGATACACCATCCAAAGCCTAATTAATAACTTCACCATGTTCAAAGGGATATTCAATGTCAGTATTCTATTGTTTATTTTTTTTTATTTTATCTACCAATAGGTGCCCTTCTTTGTGAGGCGTTGGAAAACCTCCCCAGTCTTTGTGGTTGAATCTGTGTTTGAAATTCATTGCTCAATTTTGAGGGACCTTACAAGATAATTTTATGGGTGGGGTACAGAGATCAGGTAGTCGTAAAAACAATCATGTTAAACACTATTATTGCACACACAGTGATTCCATGCTTATTATGTGACTTGTTAAGCAAATGTTTACTCCTGAACTTATTTAGGCTTGCCATTACAAAGCAGTTGAATTCGTATTGACTGAAAGTCTTAAAAAATAAAAAATAAATAAAAAGATATTGGCACAAGATGGAGGGAATGCTGCAACATAACTAACGAAATTACAGTTAACGAAAATGTACGCTTATCCAGTATAAACTAATGTATAGAATTTAATACAAAAGACAAAATTCAAAATGTTTAGTCATGTCTGAAGTGTAAAACGAACACTGACTCAATAATCCATGCCTCCATGCCTTCTGGGAATGTTATGATGTCCAAAATTATGGGCGGAGTTAGAAGAAGTCAGAAGTGTTACAATGTAAATGTACTTTTAATCTGTCTGTCTGTATATTTCAAGACATGGCATATGAGGGTGCAGCGAGATACCTGATGGGTTGGACGATACTTTTCTCGTCAATCATCTTGTAAAAACTTATACTTAAAAACTTTACTTGGCTCATCTCGCTCTAGCGACTCCTTGTGGCGGGCCGGGCGCCTGCAGGCTGACTTCCGGTCGTCAGTTGAACGGTGTTTCCTCCGACACACTGGTGCAGCTGACTTCCGGGATAAGCAGGCGGGTGTTAAGGAGCGCGGCCTGGTGGGTCATGTTTCGGAGGACGCATGACTCGACCTTCGCCTCTCCTGAGCCTGTTGGGGGAGTTGCAGCGATGGGGACAAGATCATAATTGAATAAGGGGGTAAAATAAAACAACAACAAAAATACACAAAATATAATAAATGAAAAGGTTAAGTGGATTTCGGTTAATCGTTACCACATATGGGATGTGGAAATGAACACACATAGACGATGAAGCAGCATCATGCTCTCTCCCGACGTGTAACGCAACACAACACCCAGCTACCGGGAGGCAGGACAGACAGCAGACTGTCAAACCAGCAGTGTTTCCCTGTCATCGCTCACTTTGTGGAGGCGCCTGTCATATCAATAGCTCACTAGAAGATGCATATCGTTCATTCTAGCGGGAGATGGCTCGGGTGACTTTTTTTTTCTGACTTGCGAATTGTGAAAAAAAAGTAGCCTAGTTAATTTAAGTGGAAAAAGTACCCGGCTGAATATGAGTGTATAGCCGACAGCCGGCGCTAGTGGAAAACACTGGCTGGCCTTCCCTTAAGCTGTTTCTATGTGTTCTCAAGACAGCACTGTCAAACACACACTCTTGATTCCTAGTTCCTCTTTGTCCGTCAGACCAAAAGCTGTGGGGTGGAGGGGCTGTGAGATCTTACTATACACGAGAGAGAAGGAAAGAAAGGGTGCAGTGCACGGAGAGAAAGGATGGATTGGCCATAGGAGCGGCTGATCCAATCTTTTGAATTGAGCTTCTGTGGTGTGGGCGTGGAGACAGGGAGGGATTTGTGTGTGTGTGTGGAGAGGGATTTGTTTGTTTACACACAGCTCTGCTATTGACCACACAGGTCAGATGTCACTGAAAGTGGGCAGAGTCAAAAGAAGCCAGGCTTCACAGCATCTAATGCTTCTCTGTGAGAACACAGTTAGTGTCTTAATGCATAGAAACCATGAAAGAGATGCTCACATTGGTCTGTCTGTCTGTGTGTGAAGTTGGACTCATTGTGTTATTGAGCTGCTGAACTATCCCCTTACGGAGACATGTGAGTATCATGTTGAAACATAATTCAAACATGTAGGAAAACAGGTAGAGGGAGCTGCAGTGCACGCACGCACGCACGCACGCACGCACGCACGCACGCACACACGCACACACGCACACACGCACACACGCACACACGCACACGCACACACACACACACACACACACACATACACACACAGGCTACTTCCTGTTTGGAGATGTAAGACACGGGTCTGTGAGAATAATGTAAGGGTGTGAGTGTCTGCTATGCGATGTGAGTGGCCGTGCCTCTCAAAGCATTAACCAATTAGCCCCATCCCAGCCGTTAGCCTGGCCCTGCTATCAGGTTTTATTTACTGGCCCCATCCCAGCCGTTAGCCTGGCCCTGCTATCAGGTTTTATTTACTGGCCCCATCCCAGCCGTTAGCCTGGCCCTGCTATCAGGTTTTATTTACTGGCCCCATCCCAGCCGTTAGCCTGGCCCTGCTATCAGGTTTTATTTACTGGCCCCATCCCAGCCGTTAGCCTGGCCCTGCTATCAGGTTTTATTTACTGGCCCCATCCCAGCCGTTAGCCTGGCCCTGCTATCAGGTTTTATTTACTGGCCCCATCCCAGCCGTTAGCCTGGCCCTGCTATCAGGTTTTATTTACTGGCCCCATCCCAGCCGTTAGCCTGGCCCTGCTATCAGGTTTTATTTACTGGCCCCATCCCAGCCGTTAGCCTGGCCCTGCTATCAGGTTTTATTTACTGGCCCCATCCCAGCCGTTAGCCTGGCCCTGCTATCAGGTTTTATTTACTGGCCCCATCCCAGCCGTTAGCCTGGCCCTGCTATCAGGTTTTATTTACTGGCCCCCATCCCAGCCGTTAGCCTGGCCCTGCTATCAGGTTTTATTTACTGGCCCCATCCCAGCCGTTAGCCTGGCCCTGCTATCAGGTTTTATTTACTGGCCCCATCCCAGCCGTTAGCCTGGCCCTGCTATCAGGTTTTATTTACTGGCCCCATCCCAGCCGTTAGCCTGGCCCTGCTATCAGGTTTTATTTACTGGCCCCCATCCCAGCCGTTAGCCTGGCCCTGCTATCAGGTTTTATTTACTGGCCCCATCCCAGCCGTTAGCCTGGCCCTGCTATCAGGTTTTATTTACTGGCCCCATCCCAGCCGTTAGCCTGGCCCTGCTATCAGGTTTTATTTACTGGCCCCATCCCAGCCGTTAGCCTGGCCCTGCTATCAGGTTTTATTTACTGGCCCCATCCCAGCCGTTAGCCTGGCCCTGCTATCAGGTTTTATTTACTGGCCCCATCCCAGCCGTTAGCCTGGCCCTGCTATCAGGTTTTATTTACTGGCCCCATCCCAGCCGTTAGCCTGGCCCTGCTATCAGGTTTTATTTACTGGCCCCATCCCAGCCGTTAGCCTGGCCCTGCTATCAGGTTTTATTTACTGGCCCCATCCCAGCCGTTAGCCTGGCCCTGCTATCAGGTTTTATTTACTGGCCCCATCCCAGCCGTTAGCCTGGCCCTGCTATCAGGTTTTATTTACTGGCCCCATCCCAGCCGTTAGCCTGGCCCTGCTATCAGGTTTTATTTACTGGCCCCATCCCAGCCGTTAGCCTGGCCCTGCTATCAGGTTTTATTTACTGGCCCCATCCCAGCCGTTAGCCTGGCCCTGCTATCAGGTTTTATTTACTGGCCCCATCCCAGCCGTTAGCCTGGCCCTGCTATCAGGTTTTATTTACTGGCCCCATCCCAGCCGTTAGCCTGGCCCTGCTATCAGGTTTTATTTACTGGCCCCATCCCAGCCGTTAGCCTGGCCCTGCTATCAGGTTTTATTTACTGGCCCCATCCCAGCCGTTAGCCTGGCCCTGCTATCAGGTTTTATTTACTGGCTAAAGAAATTAGAGTAAGTAATGAGACCAGCCAACTCCTCCTAACCCAGCCCAACCCAACCCAACCCAACCCACCCACCCAACCCAGCCCAACCCAACCCAACCCAACCCAACCCAACCCAACCCAACCCAGCCCAACCCAACCCAACCCAACCCAACCCAACCCAACCCAGCCCAACCCAACCCAACCCAACCCAGCTCAGCCCAATCCAACCCAACCCAACCCAACCCAGCCCAGCCCAACCCAGCTCAGCCCAATCCAACCCAACCCAACCCAGCCCAACCCAACCCAACCCAACCCAACCCAACCCAACCCAGCTCAGCCCAATCCAACCCAACCCAGCACAGCCCAGCCCAACCCAGCTCAGCCCAATCCAACCCAACCCAACCCAGCCCAGCCCAACCCAGCTCAGCCCAATCCAACCCAACCCAACCCAGCCCAGCCCAACCCAGCTCAGCCCAATCCAACCCAACCCAACCCAGCCCAACCCAGCTCAGCCCAATCCAACCCAACCCAACCCAGCTCAGCCCAACTCAGCCCAATCCAACCCAACCCAGCTCAGCCCAATCCAATCCAACTCAGCCCAATCCAACCCAACCCAGCCCAACCCAGCTCAGCCCAATCCAACCCAACCCAACCCAGCCCAACCCAGCTCAGCCCAATCCAACCCAACCCAACCCAGCTCAGCCCAACTCAGCCCAATCCAACCCAACCCAGCTCAGCCCAATCCAATCCAACTCAGCCCAATCCAACCCAACCCAGCCCAACCCAGCTCAGCCCAATCCAACCCAGCTCAGCCCAATCCAACCCAGCCCAACCCAGCTCAGCTCAGCCCAATCCAACCCAACCCAACCCAGCCCACTCCAACTCAGCCCAACCCAACCCAGCCCAGCGCAACTCAGCCCAACCCAACCCAATCCAGCACAGCCCAATCCAACCCAACCCAGCCCAACCCAGCTCAGCCCAATCCAACCCAACCCAGCCCAACCCAGCTCAGCCCAATCCAACCCAACCCAGCTCAACCCAGCTCAGCCCAATCCAACACAACCCAGCCCAACCCAGCTCAGCCCAATCCAACCCAACCCAGCCCAACTCAGCTCAGCCCAATCCAACCCAACCCAGCCCAACCCAGCTCAGCCCAATCCAACCCAACCCAACCCAACCCAGCCCAACCTAGCTCAGCCCAACCCAGTCCAACTCAGCCCAACCCAGCCCAGCCCAACTCAGCCCAACCCAACCCAGCCCAGCCCAACTGTCCAACTCAGCCCAACTCAACTCAACCCAACCCAGCTCAGCTCAGCCCAACCAAGCCCAGCCCAACTCAGCCCAACCCAACCCAACCCAGCTCAGCCCAACTCAGCCTAACCCAACCCAGCCCAGCCCAACTCAGCCCAACCCAACCCAGCCCAGCTCAGCCCAACGAAACCCAGCTCAGCTCAGCTCAGCCAGCAAGCCAACCCAACCCAACCCAGCCCAGCCCAGCCAGCAAGCCAACCCAGCCCAACCCAACCCAACCCAGCCCAAACCAGCCCAGCCAGCAAGCCAACCCAGCCCAGCTCAGCCAGCCAGCAAGCCAACCCAGCTCATCCAGAAAGCCAACCCAACCCAACCCAACCCAGCTCAGCTCAGCCCAATCCAACCCAGCCCAACCCAGCCCAGCCCAGCCCAGCCCAACTCAACCCACCCAGCCAGCAAGCCAACCCAGCCCAGCCCAGCTCAGCCAGCCAGCAAGCCAATCCAACCCAACCCAACTCAGCCAGAAAGCCAACCCAACCCAACCCAGCTCAGCCAGCCAGCAAGCCAACCCAACCCAGCCGAGCTCAGCCAGCAAGCCAATCCAACCCAACCCAGCCCAACCCAGCTCAGCCCAATCCAACCCAACCCAGCCCAACCCCGCTCAGCCCAATCCAACCCAACCCAGCCCAACCCAGCTCAGCCCAATCCAACCCAGCCCAACCCAGCTCAGCCCAATCCAACCCAACCCAGCCCAACCCAGCTCAGCCCAATCCAGCCCAACCCAGCTCAGCCCAATCCAGCCCAATCCAACCAAACCCAGCCCAACCCAGCTCAGCCCAATCCAACCCAACCCAGCCCAACCCAGCCCAGCCCAATCCAACCCAACCCAACCCAGCTCAGCCCAATCCAGCCCAATCCAACCCAACCCAGCCCAGCCCAATCCAACCCAACCCAGCCCAACCCAGCTCAGCCCAATCCAACCCAACCCAGCCCAACCCAGCTCAGCCCAACTCAGCCCAACTCAGCCCAACCCAGCCAACTCAGCCCAACCCAGCTTAGCCCAATCCAACCCAGCCCAACCCAGCTCAGCTCAGCCCAATCCAACCCAACCCAGCCCAGCCCAGCCCAACTCAGCCCAACTCAGCCCAACCCAGCCCAGCCCAACCCAGCCCATCTCAGCTCAGCCCAACCCAACCCAACCCAACCCAGCTCAGCCCAACCCAACCCAGCTCAGCTCAGCCAGCAAGCCAGCCCAACCCAACCCAGCCCAGCTCAGCCAGCAAGCCAACCCAACCCAACCCAACCCAGCTCAGCCAGAAGGCCAACCCAACCCAGCTCAGCCAGAAAGCCAACCCAACCCAACCCAGCTCAGCCAGCAAGCCAAGCCAACCCAACCCAGCCGAGCTCAGCCAGCAAGCCAAGCCAACCCAACCCAACCCAGCAAGCCCAGCACATAGAGTTCTGTTCTCACTAGAGGTGTGCCGAGTAGTCGGACAAAACAAGTATCGTAACGGATATGGGCAATTTTCTGGATATGATTATGATCAGAGTATGTTATGTAATTATCTGTGATCTGAAAAAAGTTATTTCCGGGTGCCAGCAAGCATCTTTCTCATGTCAGTCAGTCACAGACTTTCTAAACCATACTGTACGGGCTTTGAGTCACTCATGAGCGTGGTCTAAATAACTCAATTGGCTAGTTTGCCTGTCTGTAAAGAGAAGGGCGGGCTGTATGTTGATCCTGCTGCTCTGATTGGATAGAGTGAAGCCATATTTCTCCGCCCACTCGCTTCATAATTTCACCGCATCACTTTTCCTGGTGTGTTTTTTCGGTCTGATTATTTAGATTGCTGCTGCCTGCTCCTATGATAAATCACATGGTGAGGACGTTTGCTATCAAGCTATCAATGTGCATAATATCTAACAAGTGGGGCAAGGTTAGGGGGAAAAAAATGAAACACGGATGCGCATTCTGACAGAGTGACAGCAAACTTGGCTGCCCGCTGCAAGTTGAGGACACAGACACACCCGTCCCTCCGCGCGCTGCTCCACACCCGTCCCTCTGCGCGCTGCTCCACACCCGTCCCTCCGCGCGCCGCTCCACACCCGTCCCTCCGCGCGCCGCTCCACACCCGTCCCTCCGCGCGCCGCTCCACACCCGTCCCTCCGCGCGCCGCTCCCACCCCGTCCCTCCGCCGCGCCGCTCCACACCCGTCCCTCGCGCGCCGCTCCACACCCCGTCCCTCCGCGCGCCGCTCCACCACCGTCCCTCGCGCGCCGCTCCACACCCGTCCCTCCGCGCGCCGCTCCACACCCGTCCCTCCGCGCGCCGCTCCACACCCGTCCCTCCGCGCGCCGCTCCACACCCGTCCCTCCGCGCGCCGCTCCACAACCGTCCCTCCGCGCGCCCTCGCACCCCGTCCCCCGCTCGCCCGCTCCACACCCGTCCCTCCGCGCGCCGCTCCACACCCGTCCTTCCGCGCGCTGCTCCTAATCTGCAGCTCTTTTTGCAGTGAGAACGTGCAGGGAGGTATTTTGCCAACATCTATTTAGGCATATTTAAAACACTTCTGTTTTTTTCTGATCACGAGTATCATCCGATCCGACTATCAACTGTCAATTTACGGATACGATTAGAAATAAGAGTAAATCTCCCGAGTGGCGCAGTGGTCTAAGGCACTGCATCGCAGTGCTAGCTGTGCCACTAGAGATCCTGGTTCGAATCCAGGCTCTGTCGTAGCCGGCCGTGACAATGGCCTAGCGTCATCCAGGGTAGGGGAGGGAATGGCCGGCAAGGGATGTAGCTCAGTTGGTAGAGCATGGTGTTTGCAACGCCAGGGTTGTGGGTTCGATTCCCACGGGGGGGGCCAGTATGAAAAAAATAAATAAATAAAAATAATGTATGTACTAAGTTATAACTCTGGATAAGAGCGTCTGCTAAATGACTAAAATGTAAATGTCAGCTCACCACTAAAATGCAGCTGTGGTAGGAAATGGTTGTCAGGTTTGAGGAACCAATCTGCATAAAAACAATGTTTGTGTATCATATCTAGTGGTTCACAGATGCATACAGGGTGCTATGGCAAGGCCAGCAGTACCAGTGGCTGTGTTTGAGGAGTGGGTTCGTGATTTGGTGTGAGAACAGACCAGAGGATAGGGGGAACGTTTGGCGCCTGAAGAAAGAAAGAGACAGAAAGTAGAGCCAGACTCTCTCTGTCTCTCTCCACCCCGTCTCTCTCCCTCTCTCCCTCTCTCTCCCCCCCTCTCTCTCTCCCTCTCTCCCTCTCTCTCCCCCCCTCTCTCTCCCCCTCTCTCCCTCTCTCTCTCCCCCCCTCTCTCTCCCTCTCTCTCTCCCCCCCCTCTCTCTCCCTCTCTCTCTCCACCCCCGTCCCCGTCTCTGTGTGTCCTTTCCTAGAAACAGGTCTATTACGGGCCAAAGCCATCCCAGGGACAGGGACAGTGCGCTGTAATTAATTTCTCCTCAGCAGAGAGAGACTATGTATTTGTTACTTTCAGAGCTCCATAAATAGAAGACATGGATGCTGAAGTTAGGAGCAGCTTTTATCTGCCTGCCTGCCTGCCCGCCCGCGCCCCAGGGCTGAATAATTAATGCTTACAGAGTGGAAACCCCCCAGGGTGGGAGGGAGCAGCCTCTTCCTCTCCTCCATCCCTCCATCCCTTTGCATTTCTCCAACCAGCCCACAGAGGACCTCTGTCTTCCCAGCATCCACCCAGCTTCTCAAAACCCACTGTTGTGTGTTGCTGTGTGTGTGTGTGTTGCTGTGTGTGTGTGTTGTGTGTGTGTTGTGGTGTGTGTTGCTGTGTGTGTGTGTGTGTGTTGCTGTGTGTGTGTGTTGTGTGTGTGTTGTGGTGTGTGTTGCTGTGTGTGTGTGTGTGTGTTGCTGTGTGTGTGTGTTGCTGTGTGTGTGTGTTGTGTTGTGTTGTGTGTGTGTTGCTGTGTGTGTGTGTTGCTGTGTGTGTGTGTGTGTTGTGTGTTGCTGTGTGTGTGTGTGTGTTGCTGTGTGTGTGTGTGGTTCCTGGAATAGAGAGGGATTACCTGTCGGTAACAGTGGAGCATCTCCTCTCCTTGCTGAGGAGCCGCCAGGCCACGCTGACGAGAGAGAGAGGGGGGGACTGGCTCTAGGTGGCTCTGGGGAACAGCTGCCATGGCAACAGACCCTCGCTGGTCAGTCTAGTGTTACCGCAGGGAGGAGGAGGAGGGTAGGGAGGGAGGGATGTAGGGAGACTCGATCGAGAGAGATAGACAGAGACATAATCATGAGAGATCTAGCTCGCTATCTCGAGGAGAGATATAGCGACTAGAGTCGAGCGCGCTCGATCTCCTAGCGCGTTCCTTCTAGTTCTTCTTCTTGCTCTAGCTTTAGATGCTCTGTTGTTTTCTCTTTGACCCTCGCAGGGGTTGCAGGGGTCAGTGAATCTGATCCGTCTTTGTTTTTCTGAGCGCTTCTCTCTCTGCTCCTCCGTGTGTGTGTGTTATCTTCGTCAGCAGTGTGAGCCTGCTCAGCTTCCAGCTGTTATTTTGACTGATGAAAATCTGATAGAAGTCACACACCACTCTGATCAATAAGCGCCTCATCAGAACTAATCTAGCTCTATTGTATTTTACAATCAATTACAATCTACTGTATTTTACAATCTATCTATAGTTAAATACTACATCTATGCTCTTGTATTCATTGTTGGTATCAGTAAGCTGCTATAACAAAAAGCTCAATACATTTTAGATAAGCCCACATTTATCGGCTATTGTATAATCTTTGCTTAGCGGGCTAACTATACCTCGTAGTGTTGCTGCTATATTCCTACCTGAGCGTTAAACAGATTTTCATATCGTCATATCGTCCTTCTCTCACCCCGGTATTTACGGGATTACCGGCTTAGTACACAAGGGGGTGCCAAAAAACACAAAGCCCATTGGGCGTCTATTATCAGAATGCTAACAAAATTAGCACAAGTAATAGCACATTTTAATGGAGGCTGCTAGCTAAATATGCTAACGAGCGCAAACGAAAATAAACTAATTGCAAAGACAGGCAATCCAGCTCAAAGTTCTCTCTCTTTCTCTCTCTCTCTCTCTCTTTCTCTCTCTCTCTCTCTCTCTCTCCTCTCTCCTCTCTCTCTCTCTCTATATATATATATATATATATATATATATATATATATATATATATATATATATATATATATACACACAGTTTAAGTCGGAAGTTTACATACACCTTAGCCAAATACATTTAAACTCAGTTTTTCACAATTCCTGACATTTAATCCTAGTAAACATTCCCTGTCTTAGGTCAGTTAGGATCACCACTTTATTTTAAGAATGTGAAATGTCAGAATAATAGTAGAGAGAATGATTTATTTCAGCTTTTATTTCTTTCATCACATTCCCAGTGGGTCAGAAGTTTACATTCAATTAGTATTTGGTAGCATTTCCTTTAAATTGTTTAACATGGGTCAAACGTTTCGGGTAGCCTTCCACAAGCTTCCCACAATAAATTGGGTGAATTTTGGCCCATTCCTCCTGACAGAGCTGGTGTAACTGAGTCAGGTTTGTAGGCCTCCTTGCTCGCACACGCTTTTTCAGTTCTGCCCACACATTTTCTGTAGGATTGAGGTCAGGGCTTTGTGATGGCCACTCCAATACCTTGACTTTGTTGTCCCCGTGTAGCTCAGTTGGTAGAGCATGGCACTTGCAACGCCAGGGTTGTGGGTTCGATTCCCACGGGGGGCCAGTATGAAAAAAATGTATACACTCGCTAAATTACTAAAATGTAAATGTTAAGCCATTTTGCCAAAACTTTGGAAGTATGCTTGGGGTCATTGTCCATTTGGAAGACCCATTTGCGACCAAGCTTTAGCTTCCTGACTGATGTCTTGAGATGTTGCTTCAATATATCCACATAATTTTCCTTCCTCATGAAGACATCTATTTTGTGAATTGCACCAGTCCCTCCTGCAGAAAATCACCCCCACAGCATGATGCTGCCACCCCCGTGCTTCACTGTTGGGATGGTGTTCTTCGGCTTGCAAGCTAC